AGATGCATTGATTTCTATATTCAAAAGAAAAAGGCTAAAACTACAAGCGAAGTAGACATACCTGACTTTTCTTATTGGGATGTTTTTCTACCCAACTTACAAAATGTTCAATCTTCTCATCTATTTTCTTCTCAAGTTCAACATCCCCACATTGCACCTACATATAACAAATATAAATGTGGGGAACATGCAAAACAGATACATGTCAAATGCGGGTGAAAATCAGGAAACAAAGGCAGTAATTTTGATTGGAAAAGTAATACTAGAAACAGGAATTACATCATCCAAAAAAAAAAAAAGGAAAGAAATCATGAATTACTTACATAAGTAATCTCAAAGAGCTCCAAATCAACATCTTTGGGCCGAACTAGACCCAAAGCTCTATGAAACACTATTGTGTGTAAAATGCCTGCCATCATCAAAATTTTCATCTCTTTACTTTCAGTTCAAAATAAACTTTAAAAAATAAAGAAAAACCCAAACTTTATTTTCTCGTAATCATCAAATCAAATAAAACCAAAAAAAAAAAAAAAAACATAAAAAAATAATTTCGAACTAATAAATGAAATTAATTATAAAAAAAATAAAACTAACAGAAATCAAACAGTGAACTTACAGCGCAAAACCTCTCGTATTTCGAAGTGCTCCACCTCCTAAATAGAAATTTGATAAATTTTGCACAAAGTAAACGAATTTTTTAATCAGAAGCATAAATAATATAGTTAATATGTGAAATAAATAGTATAAGACCAAATTTTGGTAACCAGTTCTTTGAGTTGGCAGACTTCGCAGTTCATGATGATCGTTGAAGAGGAAAAATCAAATAAAAAATTGAAGAAAATTGGATCAATCAAACCCTAGATTTCTACCGTAGATTTTTCTTTTCGAGGCTTTACAGTGGTTTGGGTGAATCGATCTTCTAATTGGAGGATGGCTTCTTCCTTCGTTTAAGCTTGAAAATCTCTCTTTTTTTTTTCCACCTTTTCTTTTTCCTTTTTTTTTTTATCTGGTTTGGATAACAAAAGGGCTTACATAAGTGAATTTTAATCCATTTTCGTTCTTGATTATCAAAACGGTGCCGTCTTTGTTTTATTTCGCGGCTATAAAAGATGGCCTCGTTGACGGGCCGCTCCTGCTGCATGCCTCAACATCAACAAGGTCGGCTGTGAGGCCCAATATGGCCCATCGCTCATTATGTTACTTTTTTTTTTCTTAATTTATTCAATTTTAAAAATAGTAGTTCTTTTGGAAGAATTGCTAAAGATTTTGATTCCTTTAATCAAAATATTCTTATAGTTTTTTAAAAAATAGTATTTTTTTTGTTCTTAATCTAAGATGCAGATGTATAATTTTTTCATTCGGTTTTGCCCAAAAGCTTAAATAGTGATTGGTTTTAAAAAATAGAGACATTTTTATTTTATTTTTTTGAAAAATGAAAAACAAGAATGAACTATTTGGTAATGAAAAATAAAAATAAGTTTTTAAAAAACAAAAATAAAAATAGATTCAAATATGAAAATAAAAAAATGTTTTTAATTATGAAACTAAGAAATTCTCATTACTTTTTTTCTTATGTTTTACAAGTTAAGAAGTTGATCCATATTTAAATATTTTTGGAAATTATTAATTAATAAATATATATTACATATTTAAAATTAGATGTCATTAATAATAATTATTTCCATAATTACTTAATTTTTCTTATTTTTTATTTTTTAAAAAATAATTTTTGTTTTCATTCATCAAATACATTTTTTAGGAAAAAGAAAAGAAAAGAAAAACAATTTTCTAAAAAATAAAAATAAAAATAAAAACAAAAACCATTTTCTCAGGAGAAAATTTTTCATCAATATGAATTCAAAACCTTTTATTATGGAGGTAAATGAACTAATCAATTGAACCAAAGGAGAAAAGTTGAAGCCATGAAAGATACATATACAATTAATACAACCCAAGATTCCATTGTCCATACCATAGTCTTCCAAGCAAAAGGAAAAAAATTTTTGACAAATGCTCATTTGAAAACCACAGCCATGTACTCCCACACAGTCTATTCTCCACTTTTAACATTTAAAATGCTTGAAAATTGGTGTAATTGAATTTAAATTTTTTTAATTAATTCATGCAATTATTTTTAAAAAATAATATTCAATATATCTAATTCAATTCTCAAATTGTGATCTATTTTATAAAAAATTGATATAATTATTTAATTAACTACAGTGCAGCAGTGTATATATACTAGAAGAGCCCATCTCCAACTATTAAGAGAAATTAATTACCAAAAACACTCATAGGATTAATTGGTTCATAAAAAGGGATTCAGTTTTGAGTGTGGTTAACTAATTAAAGTTAGTGGGGGCAGTGGCCTATATAACTTGGAGAATGACTTTTTTTTTTCCTTGAATCCATTATATGTTTAACTATTTGAATTTCATACATTTTTGTTAATTGAAAATTTAGAAATTTAAAATAAATTATATGAAAAATACTATGACTCATAAATTTGAAAAATCCGAAGATAATGTGGTGGAAGAATGTGCATCAAAAACTTAATTCAAGATGGAAACAGTTATATATATATTTTTTATAAGTGAAGAATAGCATGATAATCAAAAGGGTAGACTAGGAAATGGAGAAAAAAACTTCTTTCTCAATGACTGTATAGGTCGTTATATTAAAGCATTCCCAACCTATATCCTCTATTCTTTTGCACCCGCAAAAGAAAACCCAAAGCCAACCCAATCCATTCAACTGAACTTACATAGGCAAGTTCATGTTTCCCACCTCCATTCATTCTATCTCTGTCACACACATGGTCATGGATTATATATAAGTTAATACACAACAAAGCTTACTTTAGCTTTTCATCCACTAAAAAATAATCAGCTTCTTTGCTTTTCTTGTTTTTTGGATTGTTGTAGATCTACAAAGAGAAGAAATTTAAAAGATGATTCAAGAACTCCTGGGAGGTACTGCAGGCTTAAATATTGGAGGGGAGATGAAAATCTCCATCAGTGGAAGCATTTTGGAAGGAACCCCTACTTCTTCTCCATCATCACCTCCTTCTTCTTCAACAACTACAACTACTAATTCTACAGCTTCAGGAAATTCGGAGAACCGGAATTTGAGGTGCCCCAGGTGTGATTCCTCGAACACAAAGTTCTGCTACTACAACAACTACAATCTAACTCAGCCTCGTCACTTTTGCATGGCTTGCCGTCGCTATTGGACAAAAGGAGGTGCTCCTGGAGACATTTGCAGACCTCCTTGGGCTTGGAGAACATGGGCATATGGTCAGCACCAGCTATGAACTTCACATCACCTGTTGGGCTATGCTCAATGTACCATTGCTGCAAGCTTTCCTTTATCAGCAAATCATCATTGCAAACTATAAAAACTCGATGAACCGATCCAAATTTCTCTTTTGTTAGCAGATATTCATTTGACAAATCTTTCATAAACCACTTTCCTTGTCTCATCACCGTTTTTGCCAATTCTATATCCTACATTCCAACAACATCAGCACAACCACATTAGTGTTCTTAACCATTTGGTGCAGATGAAATTGAATTTTTATGAGATACTGAGTTACTGACCCCTTTAGGGACAGTTGATAAACCTTTGCCACCATGAATTTTGGGCCAAATAAGGCATGAGTTGGTGGATTTTCTGGTCCATCATCAAACGATAGCTGGAAATCCATGATGGGCTCTGCCATAACCCTTTTGAAGTACTAGCTTCCATAAATATTCAACCAAAAATTAGATGTTTTGAAACTTGCATTTGCATATAGTTATGAAAATTGCTAGCCTTGAACGCATATTCAATTTAAAAAATAAAGAAAAAAGAAAATGTCCTCATTCACATCATCGACGGCTTATGGTATTTTTTATTTATTTATTTTTCCAAAGAATATGATTTGATATTCTTTAAAAAAAAAATACATTTCCATCAATCGTTCACAATTCACTATGTTTTTACATGAACAAAGTCTCAACACTTCATACTCACTTTTTTTTTTTTTTGTAAAAAATAAGTAAAGTCTAAAAATAAAAGTAAAGGTTAAAAGTGTTGTGGTTTGAATTTTAAATTTGTTAAATATAACTTTTAAAGATGATTGAATAAATAAACAAATCTAAAGTCTAAATTCTAATTTAAAATGTTTTAACTTGTATATAAGATATCATCATAATTAGAATCCATAACTTAAATTTAAAAAGTATTAAGTTCAAATTCGAGGAAAAAAAAGAGAGATTTGAACCTAAAACTTAATTTAATTGATCCATATAAATATGTTTAGAAAATGATATTCAATAAATTTAAAACTTAAATTCTAATACTTATAATTTTTTTCTTATCTTCAAACTTCTATTTTCTTCGTAAAAAAAGTAGATTTATAGAATGTAAAGCTTAATTAATTAGTACCTCTTCTACTCCAGTTCCAGGAGGAGAATCATGATTTGGCATAGAGGCTGTGAGATAAACACTCACTAATCTTCTTGGACTTGATTCCACTGGCACCAAGATCCAGTGGAGTGACACGGCGGCCAGCTGATTTGAGGAGTAAGACATCCTCGTACCAGCACCAAGCTCCATGACACATGCCATGAATTAGAGCAAAGTGCTTCATAGTTTCCTTTTCCTCTCAATACTCTTTTTTTGCTTGATATTTTTGTTTGCACAATTGCTCCCATCCAAGTTCCCACTGAAAGTGGCTTATCCACCGGGGCTCAACCCGTCGACTTCAAGGGTGAAAAATCTTTCCAATATAATCCGTGACAAGTGGCTATAAACATTTCAGTATCATTTTTTCTTCCAAATAACGTGAGAAAAAACCTTATAGAATTCAGTGGTCATAAATAAGAAGGGTATTTGCATAATCTTTATATGTGTTGGGGGCGGAATTATCTATAAGTAATTCAATGTGTAATATAACTCAGCTAAGGCATGTAGCAATATGAAAACAATAAAGAGTATAGGTGAACGAAATTTATAAATATAAAATAAAATCATTCCTTCATAATTATATATTCATATAGCTGCACCAGAAATCAGGTAATCATTTTTGCTCAAGGAGACAGCATGAGCATGAATGCATGATTCTGCTGAGTAGTTCACCCAAGAAGTAAGAATATCATACAGCAACTGATAACATCTCAAGAAAAGGAAAAGGATGTAAATGAGATAATATTTACAAGATAATGGATTCAATTATGCACCTAGCTATTATATCTTCAGATATTCAAACCTTGCCTGCCTCATTGGCTTTCATCAGTTCTGCACTTTGCTACATGTTTAATTTGAGCATTTATGTATATCACGAGTAGAGGAACTGTTTTACCCCGAAAGAGATTTAGGGAGTGAATTAGCTTGCCTAGTCTGATAATCAGCTGAGCATGGTTGGATGCCCAGTCTGAAGCATCCTCTTGATCATGTCCATTCCAAAAGCAGAATCTGATGAACTGAGTAATGGCAGCACAATATTAACTCACCATTCTAAACATGTTCTTCATTGAAATTTCCTAACAAACAGAGATGAGAATGGCAACAACAATTCATCAAAACAAAAGCAACGGATCAGCGCAGTCAATTGAGCTTAGTTTGACATGGTTAATTTGTGACTCTAACTATATTTTGCACATTCAGTTCAAATATCTCAAATCAGAATACTAAGAACATCAACAAAAACCAACTACTTTCAGTTAAAACCTAACTTCCTAATTACATGTAGATGATAACAATTTTCTCTAAATTTCTTTCTTCCTAGTTAGCTGATTAAAACATTTAAATATAAGATCATTCAATTCCATCAAAAATAAAAACAAACAACCTCTCTGACTCCATTAGAGATATCATCTCCTGGTTGCATTAAAAGACAAAATAAACATCTTATAAGCATCCTGAGCGAGAATTTGTCAAGTAGGAATCAAGTGGTAGGATTATTCAGAATTTGGGAAGCTAGACAGACAAACCAATATTAGATGACTGTTTTCAAGAAGTTTATCTCATCATCAAGGCACTTTTCTAAAGCACAGAAATGCCTCTTTTGTGGGAAGGCAGCCTTCTCACAGAATACATATTCTAGCTTCGTCCAAACAAAATGAATTCGTATGGTGCAATCTAATCCCATCAACTGAGGATAAACACTACAAATAGTAGTGAATAAAAGGGGAAAAAGGAATAAAACCTAGTGGTTATTTCAAAATTTGATAGTTTTACACAATCAAGCAGAAAGCTCTAACATACTCAGTAAAGATGAAGAAATGGATATTATATTTAATGCAAGAAAGTAAACTTTACTAGATTCAAGAAAAATCTCACTGCCGTTTTATTCCTAACATGAATTAGAATCTGCTTTTTAGGTTCATTCATTAGAATCTTTTAAACATTCATTTTTAGACCAGTCATATCTTTCAAAAACTTCTAAGACATCAATTCTTAACTTCCACTTCAAGTTTAATCAAGTACTCCTCTATATTGAGCCAGTTAAAGTATTCTTTATGCACAAGAACAAGATCAAAGTTTTGCTGGAAAAGAGCAGAACATTAACGTTGCAGCTTTCCACTACCATGTTTCCTTTGAAAGTAACCTGAAAAAAAATGAAAATGTACAGAAGGGAGAACTGACCTTGGTACAGTAATTTCATGTGGAAAATAGATGACACCCTCAGATATGGGGGGAACATGGTCCTTCTTCTCATTAACAAACTTTATTATTTGAAACATGACCTCTCGAAGAGATACTTCAAGTGCTACTCTGCGCGAACCTCTCTCCTCAGAAGCACTCTCTATAATAATGAACACAAACAAATTAAAAAAAAAAAAAAGAAGAAAATCAATTAGTTTTGAAGAAAGTTAAAACAGTTTATGATTTTAAAGTTAAGGGCATAAGCATTGTTGTACCTCCTGGGTCAACGACCACTTTGGTATGATGAGATTTGCCCGAATGTGGTTTCGGGTGTTGAGTAACATTCAAATTGACATACCATTGTTCCCAAAATAGGCGCTCGGTTTTGTTAGAGAACCAAGATGGCGGCTTGCTTTTCACCTCATAAAAGGATATGCATATCTGCAAGACATGTAAAGAAATCTCATTCAAAATGAGATGCGCACTAAAATGTAAAAGGCTACTACCAAATGTCACACAGCAAGAGGGACAAAACAAGCAAAAGTAAAACCTGAAGATGAATAAGATGCATTGATTTCTATATTCAAAAGAAAAAGGCTAAAACTACAAGCGAAGTAGACATACCTGACTTTTCTTATTGGGATGTTTTTCTACCCAACTTACAAAATGTTCAATCTTCTCATCTATTTTCTTCTCAAGTTCAACAACCCCACATTGCACCTACATATAACAAATATAAATGTGGGGAACATGCAAAACAGATACATGTCAAATGCGGGTGAAAAGCAGGAAACAAAAGCAGTAATTTTGATTGGAAAAGTAATACTAGAAACAGGAATTACATCATCCAAAAAAAAAAAAAGGAAAGAAATCATGAATTACTTACATAAGTAATCTCAAAGAGCTCCAAATCAACATCTTTGGGCCGAACTAGACCCAAAGCTCTATGAAACACTATTGTGTGTAAAATGCCTGCCATCATCAAAATTTTCATCTCTTTACTTTCAGTTCAAAATAAACTTTAAAAAATAAAGAAAAACCCAAACTTTATTTTCTCGTAATCATCAATTCAAATAAAACCAAAAAACAAAAAAAAAACATAAAACAATAATTTCGAACTAATAAATGAAATTAATTATAAAAAAAATAAAACTAACAGAAATCAAACAGTAAACTTACAGCGCAAAACCTCTCGTATTTCGAAGTGCTCCACCTCCTAAATAGAAATTTGATAAATTTTGCACAAAGTAAACGAATTTTTTAATCAGAAGCACAAATAATATAGTTAATATGTGAAATAAATAGTATAAGACCAAATTTTGGTTACCAGTTCTTTGAGTTGGCAGACTTCGCAGTTCATGATGATCGTTGAAGAGGAAAAATCAAATAAAAAATTGAAGAAAATTGGATCAATCAAACCCTAGATTTCTACCGTAGATTTTTCTTTTCGAGGTTTTACAGTGGTTTGGGTGAATCGATCTTCTAATTGGAGGATGGCTTCTTCCTTCGTTTAAGCTTGAAAATCTCTCTTTTTTTTTCCACTTTTTTTTTCCTTTATTTTATCTGGTTTGGATAATAAGAGGGCTTACATGAGTGAATTTTAATCCATTTTCGTTCTTGATTATCAAAACGGTGCCGTCTTTATTTTATTTCGCGGCTATAAAAGCTGGCCTCGTTGACGGGCCGCTCCTGCTGCATGCCTCAACATCAACAAGGTCGGCTGTGAGGCCCAATATGGCCCATCGCTCATTATGTTACTTTTTTTTTTCTTAATTTATTCAATTTTAAAAATAGTAGTTCTTTTGGAAGAATTGCTAAAGATTTTGATTCCTTTAATCAAAATATTCTTATAATTTTTTTAAAAAATAGTATTTTTTTTGTTCTTAATCTAAGATGCAGATGTATAATTTTTTCATTCGGTTTTGCCCAAAAGCTTAAATAGTGATTGGTTTTAAAAAATAGAGACATTTTTATTTTATTTTTTTGAAAAATGAAAAACAAGAATGAACTATTTGGTAATGAAAAATAAAAATAAAAATAGATTCAAATTTGAAAATAAAAAAATGTTTTTAATTATGAAAATAAGAAATTCTCATTACTTTTTTTTCTTATGTTTTACAAGTTAAGAAGTTGATCCATATTTAAATATTTTTGGAAATTATTAATTAATAAATATATATTACATATTTAAAATTAGATGTCATTAATAATAATTATTTCCGTAATTACTTAATTTTTCTTATTTTGTATTTTTTAAAAAATAATTTTTGTTTTCATTCATCAAATACATTTTTTAGGAAAAAGAAAAGAAAAGAAAAACTATTTTCTAAAAAATAAAAATAAAAATAAAAACAAAAACCATTTTCTCAGGAGAAATTTTTTCATCAATATGAATTCAAAACCTTTTATTATGGAGATAAATGAACTAATCAATTGAACCAAAGGAGAAAAGTTGAAGCCATGAAAGATACATATACAATTAATACAACCCAAGATTCCATTGTCCATACCATAGTCTTCCAAGCAAAAGGAAAAATTTTTTTGACAAATGCTCATTTGAAAACCACAGCCATGATCTTGATTCTACTCGTGTGGGGCTGCAGTTGTAACCTTAAGCCTTTAACAAATACTCTCTGAGTTCCTACAAATTTCATCTTGAGTTACAATTATAATAATAAAAGAAAAGCATCATCTCTAAATTTTTTATCAAAAAGTCCTTGCTTGATTATTATGATTTTTGATTTGATATGGCTACTTGTGCTGTTTGTTTCTGCTTTATTTGTTTTCATATTTATATCTTAGTTTTGGTTATTATTACAAATTCTATCTTCCTGTTTTGATTTGGATAATAAGATATCATTCATATGATGTAAGATATATCAAACAATGACAATGATATAGACTCCCTGAAAGTAGGTACAATTGCAATTTTACCATAATTTAACCGAATTAATTTAAAAATAAGCTTGATGTAACAATGATTACTTATTATTTAAACATGGATCAAACTCATCTTTTGCCTATTTCCTATGATTAATATCAACGGTGCAAATTGAGGATTTCCAAATGTGTTTATGCCCTTATGATTTCCTTAATTGTTGAAATTGTGGTTTGTATGTATGTAATCAGGAACAGAGAGCTTGAGTAAGAAACTTGATCACGCTATCAAGCATAACAATTTTGTTTTCATTTGGATGAAAACATCAACCTCTAGCAGGCTTTTTTCATATCCCATCAAATGGGCTCCATTCACCCCTCTCTTCTTTTCCAGTTGTTGTTGTCCTTATCAATTCTTTTTTTTTCTTTGAAATTTGGCAATGATCAGTACCTTAGCTTACCGGCACATTTGAACCATTCCATGTCAAAATATGGCAATTCTGGCCCTTTGAATGGGATAAGTCTTGCCATGCTGTCCCATGATCCTTTGGTGTCCCATGCCATGGACATGGCTTTGGTGTCCCATGAGCTATATCTACCACTATTCTATCTTAATCACCTCACCTCAATGTCTGATGAAATGCTATGAAACTGACTTTTAACACAAAATATAGGTTGAAAACAACAACAAGTGGAAGACTTTGCGGTAGCTTTTAATTATTAACTTGTATGTGCTTGATATGTAAGACCATTTGGATACATGATGAGAGGGATTATATCGTGTCGAAAGTCTTTTTTCATTTATCATCTAAATGGGACTTTAATTATATTTAAATGTAGAATATTTCAAATATATATGTCATTATTTTTTGCATTATGAGAATCTAAAATGTTCATCCTTATCCATATTTAAAACCTTGCTCAAATTCGTATACTATTAGTCATTAGATCTAAGCATTTTCATGTCATTTTCTAGATGAATTTAAGTAAAAACGTGTTGTCCGGACTATATATTTCCATTTAGTCTTTTACTAATTAATTCCAGGTCTACTGGAATCTTTCATAAGCTGATGCTACTACAAGTCTGGTGTGGAAAATCAATTACATGCAAAAAAACAGCTGAGGGCTTACAGAAACAAGCAGATTCGTTGAATTGCTTAGCCATGAACAGCATGGGAAGATAAAATTGAACACTCAATGAAACGTTATTTCTTCTAGTAGCCTTGGGAATTGGAACCGTGGATCTCAATTTTCAATGACAAATTAGAAGGCTACACTTCAAGGCTTCCTATGTTTGAACTAATTCAATTTTGAAGTGACAATGCAACAGTTAAAGCAGACCCTTTATCCTTTCCAAACTGATATGGTTTTCCAAAGCAATCTTTTATCAGATTAAACAATCACTGGACCCATAAGATTACTGTAGCATCCATTTTCTAAGTTGCAAAAGTCATTGCATTCTTCTTGAAACTACTATATGATAAATCAAACATTCCGCCTTGGTTTTTCCAATATTATTCGGGATCTTCAATGAAATCACTGGAAGATTGGTATAATCACACATGACTGAGCCTCAATGTAATTAAAAATGTAAACAAAGAATATTCTATTGTTCAAAGCCTGAATTCCAAAATTCAAAACCCAAGTTTCTGTATGGAAACCAAATCTAGTCTTGGTAACTGAAATTTGAATGAACAGACATTGGTCCAGACAGCAGGTTGGGGGTCCTCACTACTCCACATGTCAGTGAGTAATTCTCTCTGCCAATAAATTCATCATGCTCAACCTTTTTTAAGTTCCGGAGCTCCAATAAGAATCGATCCACATGCCAGATTTGTCCGGAGAGACATGATCTATAGTTCTGGAGGAGGGATCTTGTTCCTCTTAGCTTTTGGCAGGTTGAACCCTCCATTGGAGTTCTCATTGTGGATAACATGTTTGATAGACTGTTGTCAGAGGGTGGGTCCCAAGTGGAATGTAGGTTTAAGGTCCATCTATCTTTCTCCTTTCAAGAAATTCCACTTTTTTTTTTTTTTTTCACTCTCACCTCTTTGAATGAATAAAAACTAAAAAGGGTTGCATTATAGAAGTTGTCCTATGGCACCAGCACCAACAGCTTGAAAAAAAGAGATCAGCCGAGGATCTTTACGAAATATATTTGACGATTTGTATATTTATGTTATGTTTTACACAAAAATTAAATAATTGGTAAAAGACTGTCAAAGGCTTCTATAGCTATGCAACTACTGACAATTCCCTGGTTCAGTTGAATATATGCTGCTAGAGATAAAGAAGTAAGATAGATATTCTACAGTATGTATCGGAAATTGGCAATGAAATTAGCATTTTTCTTATGCTTAATACCAGCTGTTAGGGAGTTTTCCAGCCAGGTGGATCGTCAAATTGGCTCAGAGAGTAAGTCGATGTGAGTCTTCGCCAGATTTGAAAGAAAATGTTGTTCCATTAGTTTGAATTGACCGTCGTTGTTAAATTTTCCCCCCAGGTGGGTCATCCAATTTGCTTGAAATTACAACAATCATGGTGAATATGTGCCAATGAAAGAGCTGTTCTTTCAGATTGAAAATTTTGGGCCACATGCTGACAATCTTTTGTCGCCAGAATTGAAAATTTTGACGTGCTCCGAAACAAGGAGCAAGAAAATGAATGGGAAAGCGTACAACATCCTGTTCTCTACAGCTAATCGAGTTAACACATAATATCATGATCATCTTCTCAGTTAGAAGCAGAGAAACATGACACATCCAAACAACAAAGAAAAACTAACAAAAGAAGCAGAAACACTTAGGGCCGGGATTCCTTTTTGTCATATTGTTTTGTCAATAATTCCATTATTATCAACCATTTAAATAAGTAATCTGTCCGAAAATCTCAGTCCCAGATTCCCTTATTTGGTTCTGTAAGTGTTACCTGTAAAATACGTTTTTGTTGACTCATCACAATCATTGCAGGCTAACAGGGAAATCTTTCTCTTTGGTTTTAAATACTAGATTGAGCAATCACACCACTCTCATCGATGCAGAATTTTTTTGAAGTATAGTACATTTCATGGTAGGCCCAGCTTTCCATTGTTTTCTATATCTATACCAGGGGGCCATTCATTGAATTTAATTATTAATTTTGGATAGTGATCAGCTGCATTTTAAATTTAAAGTTTTAAACGTTATTTTTTTTTAATTTTTAATCTACCCTCAAATCTTCAACTTCTATCTAGTTAATTTTCTTGATGAGAGCATTATCATTAAATCTTATCAAATCTACAACTTTAAATAAGTGCATAATATCGAGACAATGCTTCTGTGACAAAGGAATGAGCGGATGATATAAATCGAGATATAATGCATGACAGAGATGAGAGAGAGAGAGGAAGAGGGGGGAATTATTGACATTATTCAAGTAGGAAATTGAACCTATTCAATTCCCATTATTAATATTAAACAATCCAAGCAAACAAGCAAGAAGGTCCATAGCTATCCCACCTGGAAAAAAAAAAAACAAAGAAAAAAAAAAAGGAAGGTGAGGAACCCTAGAAAAGCTGCAATGCCGCATAAGGGGAGACATGGAGCAAGGTCCATTATCACATCTCATGCAGCAATGGGTGCATGTCATGTCATTATCATTCCATGTCCATGACACATATGACCCTTGCACACACACTCTCTCTCTTGTTTACATACCCATAGCCTGGTTTCTTCCTTAACAGATACTTGTCCCTTTGAGAACATGTCTATAAATACAATCACAAATTAAATTTATTAAAGTTTTTCATTGTAGGTTAGATTTATAAATATATCTTTGCATATGATTTTATGTACTGAAATATCACCTTATCTTTTTGTCTCTGAGAAAATTAATGATAAGTTAATTGCTGATCATATAAATTTGCCCTTGAAGTTGCTACATTTTCTCGAAACCACATCAAACTGTCATTTTCTAATAAGAAAACAACATACAAACTCTTCGAAGTTCTTGTTATTGATGCTCAACTTGGTGTAGTACTATAATAATTGACAAAATTTTTAATATGGCAACTGCTTACTTGCTTTTGTGATAACAAAAACAGTAGGCTTTGATAGATATGAACATTATGGGCGGGGGGGGAACCAATTAATAATACAAAGCAAAAATGCAGCTGATAGTGATGGAGCAAACACGAAAACAAAAAGTAGGGTTTCCTTTTTTTCTTTTTTATTGTTGAGGTTTAAGAGAGAGAGAAGGGAAAGAAAGCCCGTGGATCGAGGGAAGGCTGCCCCCACAGAACATTGACGGCGACCAAATGCTGTCGTTTTCCGCTGCCCGTCCACTCTCCATCAGATAAAGTCAGGGGGTAACGGGCAGCACCTTTCGCTTTCGGTCTTTGGAACCCAAAAGTCTCGCGCACCGGACGGCACGCGCGGTCAGATACCTCATCTGTTGTACTTGGAACGGCAACAACAATAACTTTCTCAAAACAAGAAATGGAGAAACGTAATTTTTTTTTCTTCCATGTGTTTTTTATGACAAAACAAAACTTGGGTCTTCTTTTTCTTACATGTGCTTATGTTCGGGTAGTTTTCTTTATCTTTGCCATTTGCATTCATATTTCCTTTTCTTCATTTTTTGGGTATTGAAGGTTTAACTTTAGCATGTGTTAGGGTTTAAAGGGTTCTTCCTGAACTGTACAAAAAGACATTATAGGGAACTGGTTTCATTTTCATACTTTGGTCTTCTTCATGTAAGATTGATGACAAGATTTCAGTCCCACTACAGGGACATCTCCAAATTCCCACCTTAAAAGCAGATATATATTAACAGTAAGTATCAAAGGAAAACCAATGCTCTTTTTGGACCAAAGTGGTGGGATTCATTTATAGTATAGACATAGTTTTTCTTAATTTGGCATAAATGTCCCTTCCATGCAACTTGTTTGATATTCATATACTTAATTATTTGGTTAAGATTAATGATGGAGTCGAAATGTTAGGTTAACTAACATAATGTTGGAATGTCGGTGAAAGCAAATTCCCTTACTCAACTTTGATTTGATTTTGTATTTGGTATAATTAATTGTAACTATGTTAGGCTTAGGCTAGACATCCAGCTCTACTTGAAACTCATGAAAGTTAATATTATTAGCTTATATTTTAGAATTTAAATCTTGATAGTTTTAATATAAAAAAATATATCTTTTATCAATTAAATTCGACTTATGTGAATTTTGATTTTTCTCATCCAATTCCTTCAATTACAATGATAAACGAATTTGATAGAGTTTTTTAATTAAATGCATGCACAGTAATGAATAACTTAAATATATATGAAAAATCACTTTTAATCATATAATTAAATTGGATTAAGTTGCTAGAAGAAATAGTAGAGAATATTGTTTTATCCTTTCTCTTGTTAAGAGCCAAAATTTAAAGCCTTTTGTAATATGATCACAAGAATTGATCTACACAAGCCTTTCTCTTATTAAACAAGAATCTTCTCTCTAAAGCCTTTCCTACACGACTTGATGTTTAAGACACAACTTGTTCACACACAATCGTTTTTATAGGGACGACTGTTGGTCAATTCATATATGTTTTACAACAGTAGTTTTGACAATTAGCAGCAAACAGATAAAGGGCTTGTATCTCGTTTGATTTGTAAATATTTTGTCGTTCATTAACATTAGGTAGAACAGTGTCTAATTTAAGGACCTTCCAGTCTCATGTTCATGACCAGAGGGTCTCCTTTTAACTTTTTTTTTTTTTTTTGAGAAATTTCATCATGAACTTCCTCCTTCAAGCAGTCAAATCAATGCCCGTCTCTCACAATTCCCCGAAAATGTTGCTTTCCAGATCAATTTTGTTCTGTGAAAGCCAAAAATAAGAAGTGTTAATCATGTTGAAGTCCTAGTAAGGTGATTTTGTGTTAGGAATAAAGGAGTAGAAACAGAATAATGAATTTCACCAGCACAACTACCTACTTCATGAGTCAAGGGTTGTGGCTTGTAACACGAATCTTATTATTTTGTCATTTATCATCAAACTTTATAGCATCTTTTCCAATCAGCAAAAGATCAGATTATTCTTGGTGGGGAGGGGGGGGGGGGAGGTTTACATTTCGTGCCAATATAGAACCATCATTGGACTCTATTCTAAACGTTCAAAAAAAAATTTTACCCTTTATAAATATTCTTTGATATTCTATTTGATTGGTACTTTTACAATTTTGAAGGCAAAAAAGTAAAACTTCGAAACTTTAGTTTTATCATAATTTTTACTTATATGTGAAGGAAGAATCAAAATGACATATCCTGTCAATCCAATTGTTGTGACCAAATAAACATATTGCTGTTAAATTGTCTTTTATAGCTCTAAATTATTAGTATGAATTTCAAAATGGATTTAACCCTTGTGAATGCGATGTAAATCTTGTCATTCATGTCCACACGAGTGAATAATTACCCTTTTTAACACTACAATATGAAGCAATGTGTAGCACACGATCGATGGCGACGCAATCATCGTGTTTCACTCTTGCACTTGGCCATTGGTAGCTAACCATCTATGGTGGAACTTGGGATGCGATGCAAAATTCAAGCCATAAGTCTCGGTCAGTGGCTTTATAGCTGGGGGTGGGGACATCGACTTTACAAATGCTTCCATTTGATTAGCCCTTCCTTGAATTAGTAATGATGGATTTTGAACACCATCTTCAGGAATGAAACACAGAACCCTCAGCCCCCAACCAAAAATTATTCTTTTAGGAAAATTGTTTACTGTTGGTTCCTCATTATCAATTCTGTACTCCCACACAGTCTATTCTCCACTTTTAACATTTAAAATGCTTGAAAATTGGTGTAATTGAATTTAAATTTTTTTAATTAATTCATACAATTATTTTTAAAAAATAATATTCAATATATCTGAATTCAATTCTCAAATTGTGATCTATTTTATAAAAAAATGATATAATTATTTAATTAACTACAATGCAGCACTGCATATATACTAGAAGAGCCCATCTCTAACTATTAAGAGAAATTAATTACCAAAAACACTCATAGGATTAATTGGTTCATAAAAAGGGATTCAATTTTGAGTGTGGTTAACTAATTAAAGTTAGTGGGGGCAGTGGCCTATATAACTTGGATAATGACTTTTTTTTTTTTCCTTGAATCCATTATATGTTTAACTATTTGAATTTCATACATTTTTGTTAATTGAAAATTTAGAAATTTAAAATAAATTATATGACAAATACTATGACTCATAAATTTGAAAAATCCGAAGATAATGTGGTGGAAGAATGTGCATCAAAAACTTAATTCAAGATGGAAACAGTTATATATATATTTTTATAAGTGAAGAATAGCATGATAATCAAAAGGGTAGACTAGGAAATGGAGAAAAAAACTTCTTTCTCAATGACTGTATAGGTCGTTATATTAAAGCATTCCCAACCTATATCCTCTATTCTTTTGCACCCACAAAAGAAAACCCAAAGCCAACCCAAGCCATTCAACTGAACTTACATAGGCAAGTTCATGTTTCCCACCTCCATTCATTCTATCTCTGTCACACACATGGTCATGGATTATATATAAGTTAATACACAACAAAGCTTACTTTAGCTTTTCATCCACTAAAAAATAATCAGTTCTTTGCTTTTCTTGTTTTTTGGATTGTTGTAGATCTACAAAGAGAAGAAATTTAAAAGATGATTCAAGAACTCCTGGGAGGTACTGCAGGCTTAAATATTGGAGGGGAGATGAAAATCTCCATCAGTGGAAGCATTTTGGAAGGAACCCCTACTTCTTCTCCATCACCATCTCCTTCTTCTTCAACAACTACAACTACTAATTCTACAGCTTCAGGAAATTCGGAGAACCGGAATTTGAGGTGCCCCAGGTGTGATTCCTCGAACACAAAGTTCTGCTACTACAACAACTACAATCTAACTCAGCCTCGTCACTTTTGCAAGACTTGCCGTCGCTATTGGACAAAAGGAGGTGCTCTTAGGAATGTTCCTATTGGAGGTGGATGCAGGAAAAGCAAAAACACTACTGTTTCAACATATGTGGGAAAATCAAGTGCTGTTAAGATGAAAACAGTAGTTTCTGAAATTGGAAGATCTGGCCTCGGAAATGGGTTTGATCATGAGCTTCAATCTAGTCCAATTCTTTGGGCTTCACCTCAGAGTTCTAATCTTCTAGCCTTATTGAGAAATACCCAAAACCCTAACCCTAACACTTTGTCTAATCCTGTTAATATTAAGGCAGAGGTGAGCCTGGTTGGATCACACGTGATGAATGAGCCAGCAGTTGCAACTGGTGCACTAAATGCTGGAACCCTAGGCTTGGATCCTCTTAGCCAGTTTCCTTCTCTTGGAATTTGGAGCCCTTTCTGGAAAAACAATCAACACCAAGAACAACAGCAACAACAGAATAATGGGTTCCTACTAGGTGAAGTTCAAAACACAGGAATTCAAGAACTGTATCAAAGGCTCAAATCATCATCAAGTTATTACTCTGATAGCTCAGCAGTAGTTCTAGGCAATATGGCTTCTTCTTCATCTTCATCTTCATCCATTTTGGAGTCAGCTCCGGTGGTAGGAGGAGAATTGGGTTACTGGAATCCGGCCTTTTCATCATCATGGTCTAATAATGGTGCATATCCTTAAAGAACCCTTTTTTTACCTTCCCTTTCATCTTATCCCACCTTTTTACATGCTAATGTTGTCGCTTCTTCTGTTGGCTGTCTGCCTTCTGGTTTATGAATATGGCTGTAGGTGTAGGGGTAGCATCAGGTTGTTTCTCTTTTTTCTTTTTTTTTCCTCTTTTAAGTGTGCTTTAAGGTGTGTTTAATTACCTTATGAGAGTGTACCAAGGATGAGAAGAAGTAAAAAGATGGAAAATGTTAGAAGTTTTTTGTTTCAATGCTCCATGTTGAAAAATGTGACCTTTGACATAGAATACCATCGTTAATTTGTCCCCTGAGTCCTACAAATAGGCTAAAAAGAACAAAATCACACCATACAAATCAGAAAAGAATAAGCAGACACATGGGTTTCATTTTCTGATTTTGATAAACTATAGGAGAGTGTTAGTGGTGTGTCATGAACTGGTGGGTTGCACATGAAATTGAAGATTCTCTATATTGTTTTGTTATGAGAAAGTTATGAAATAGTTTTAAAGAAGCCTTTGGGAAGAGTTTCCGTAAACAGCAATTTGATTCTTGCAGTGGAAAGGAGGATTCCACGGGCAGCCTTATGTTAAAGAGTTGGTGTCCGCCCCTTGCCTGCTTCTCTGGAGATTGGCTTCAGTTTTATTCCGTCTTCACTTTTTCTTTTTTTTACTTTTTAAATAATTTCAAACCCTTACTTTGTCACTTTCGCATGCAAGGGGACTTGGCTTGAGTTTACTTCATTGCTTTTGCCTCTGAAATTTTACTTCTAACCTTTATGTGTCATGACCCTTCAAATTAAAGTTTGTGATCTAATCTCTCTAGCGAGGGTACGCCACAATCTGATGATGGTTGTTGGTCATTTTCATCGTCATTCCAACCACACTTCTTTTAATAGTGCTCTCTCTAGATTTGTTAATCACGGATGGAACACTCTATATATGCGCACTAAATTAGCGGCAGAATCAATTGAAAATTAAGTACTTTTCAAACTTGGGTGCATGTTCATGCATATTATTATATTATATCAGTTGAATGAGGTGGTTATTGACTGAATGAAACTTGTTTTTCAAGAACCAAATGGGCAAGGAAACATTAAATATCAATGGCATGCAGTACATTTTGAAGCCTAACTCCCCCGTATTTCTTCCTACAGTCACACCCTCGTAACTGAAACTGAAGGGGGAAAATCAGAAAATGCAGAAAATAATAAAATTACATCAATGCGACAAAGTTCTATAAGTTAGTGGCCTTGCCACAAAGTAGTGCATTCGGAGGAATGTCAGCCTCAGTAAACAGGCTCTTTTCGTTGTCCCAAACTTTGAGATACAATTGCTTGCCTAGGTACCGATCTGGCCATAATTGTGATCTCAAGTTCCACATACCTTTGTTGTCGAATGAAACCATAATTGCTGTCCATGATGTTGGATATACCTGCCAAGAATTTTCTAATTAAGTTAATATGTTCAATTTTTGAAACACCGAAAAAAAAAATGAATTCAAGATGAAAGACTCCCCAATGCAAAAGGACTATTTGTGTAAATTGCTCTGGATTACCTGGACAGTGTGTCTAGATATTGCATCGGCCAGATTGTAGCTTTTCCTTGAGTCAATTGTCCACTCACCAGAACCATATCTAAAATTTCAAAGAACATGTTAAATGATACAAATTCAGGATGTTTAAAAGTTGGGAGAGCAAATCGACTAATATGATTCTAAAAGCATACCCGACAACATAGAAGCTAGATCCATCAAGATGCCAAGACTGGATAGTTTTTTCCGAGTTCTGGAATACAATCTCAACAAAGTCATGAAGGTTGATTCCGAAGACACAGGCACCCAAGACTGCAGGCCCTGAAGTGGGAAAATCCTTGGTTGAGTTTAATGTGAAGACACCAGGGATGTTAAACCAGTCTGCAAGCTTCAATGGGGTAGTTGGATCCACATAGGATATCCCATTAACGGCATATCGCAACTTGCCATTTATGTTGACTTTTTCATTGGCCAAAACAAGCGTCCTCACAACGTTTATTGACCCATAGTGGAATGACCCTTGAGGATTAGGCCTAGCTGCATTTGCTGTTAAGTTCAATCTGAACCACAAAAATGAGAAAAATGTTAGGATTACATGATACATGATCAGCAATTATTTGTATATGTAAAGAGCAAACACATGTTCCTGGAACATGTTCGACTACCTGATGGTCCTGGCTTGTTTCATGGACCAGTGAACCTGATAAGTTGGGCCTATAGGCAATGGCAAAGAGGCTGGAGTGTTGGAACCCTCATAGCGAAGAATGCCAGTAGTGGTGAGAATAGGCTTTGTGAAACGGGTAGAAGCCACAATGTAGTAGTCTTTAATTGACGCAAGTAAGGTAACCAAGACGGCTACAGATTGACCTGCATGAATATCAATGGACTCGTACACCTCCTGCAGACAATGGCTTCCTTCAACTTCAATAAGAGTCATTGGATGACCCTGGATCCTGAAGTTAATTGATGTTGAAATACCCACATTTGTAATCCTAAACTTGTATGTTTTCCCTGTAATTAAGTAGGAATCCAAGCAAGATTTAGCATACAAGTTCTATACAGAATCCTCTGTTTAGCCTCAGAAAGCGAAACGCTTTATAAGGAGTAGATTAGGATGATTACCTTTCTGACCAGTGAAAGTATAAGATTGATGGACACCATTAATAAGAAGGCCATCTGGTAGAGGAAGACCCAAGCCTGAATCCAGCGTTTTCTGTAAGGCCTGTGAAAATTTGTCTGGTTAGAACATCTTCTCATTTATCTAACAATTGGATCGGATCCATGGCAGATCATATAATTGAAAATTTGTATACCTTGTCGCCAGCCTTGTACCAATCGCCAACAAGCACAGTGAATTCTCCATAAGGTGCAGGGTATGGGATTGATATCACTGACCTTTGTTGAATGTTGATAGCCCCAAAACCACCAGCGGCCCTGTGCATTAAAGTTGAAGGATAGTACATGTAGGTTCCAATTTGATCCTTCATCTGGAATTTGTATGTCCAGTTTGAGTGGGGAGGGATTGGACAGTTGGTACCAAGCACACCATCTTGCCATGATGTCCTCCTTTGTTTAATTCCATGCCTAATTTTCTTAAAAAATCCAGATTATTAAACTTGATCATGAATATGAATTAAAGCAAATGCATACGTGCATGCACAGATAAAAAATTAGAAAATCAATAAATTATGAAGCTTATCATGGTAAAAAGGACGGCAAGCAACTAACCATGTAATGAGGAAAGGTTCATCTAATTGATTGATGACATTTATAACCATGTTGTCATTAGTCACAGCTTCAATTGGAGGTCCAGGAAATTGATTATTAATAAGAATGACCTGCAAATTGTAAAGGAAAAAAAAATCTGGTTAGAATTCCTGTAACAACAAACATGTATCTGAATTGTTCTTAAAAAAGAAATCGGTGCTTGGATATAGAAACAAACCCGTTGGTAAACACCAAGAGGAGCTTGTATTCCTTCTGTGACTACCCAAGTATAGTATCTATATGCATCTTCTGCATTGGCGCAGAAGACGCTAAAGCAAGCCAATATTCCAAGTAAAAATTGCAGGAAAATGGCCCGTCTCATTTTTTCTGAAGTATTTTCCACCAATTGCTGCCCTAAAATTAAAAAAAAAATAGAAAAACAAGATGAGCTTCATAGAAACAACAAATACTCAAATAGATAATTTCTTACTTGATTTTGTATCCTTGAATTATATTCAAAGTTTAATCATAGAATATCAAGCTTTAAGCCTATGTTCCAAACATACATATACATACATACATATATATAATGCAAAGTCTAGACTTGAAATATTGTAAAGAAAGAGACCTACCAAAATTTTAAGTCTTCCCCCAAGAGATGGAAGTGCGATAAAAAATGTGAGACTTGGTGGAGTCGTGTACAAAAACAGGAACACATCCTTGTACTTATATATAACAGGTTTGAAGAGAGCATTGGGAATTAACAAGATTATTATCCAATGCCAGCATGGACACGGCAACCTATGCATGCAAAAGCTTTTTTGCGACGCACTTCACGGTCACACGCCATAAGCCTTCACAACTCATTCCAGCTGAAAAATATTCCCCAAAAATCAATACCACCATTATCAGTAATTAATTAATTAATAATTCCCCAGGTTGATAATTTCACTAGAATTTCTTGACATCAGCACAACTCCAATGAGAGATTTTAAAATACATATTTTTTTCTATTTGTTTCTCTATTTCGTGAAGATGTTAGTAATAGTATTTATGAATTTGGATAACTTGGATCTGTGACCGTCGGCTACGGCGGGAGAGAGGAAGGGAAGGAAGATCTAAAGAAGCGGGAGCGGTGCAGCCGAGTACGGATGATAATTCATGGCAAGGATTTAATCAACTTTGACCTTCCATGTTTAAATTAATCAAAGCAAACGCGGAGAGAAATGGGTCTCATTGTGGTTTTAATGAAGAGATCGACCTAGCAGAGAGATATAGGAAAATTATGGAACAAAAAATGTTAATAATATGTTGTTGCTCATTGCTCCCATGCAAAAGAAGCAGGAACCGAAGACAAAGGGAGGGTTGCATGGATCAGGTTCTTTAGGATTTCTATGGTTTCTTCTACTTTCGATATAAATTCTTTCTACACGTACGTTGTATCAAATTTGGAACTTTTAGCTAATTCTTTAAGATCATTTTCACTGATTTTTATCATGAATTTGGTGTTTGATGATTATACAAAGGGTAGTAAGGATATGAACTCTTTTTCTTATCGCCCATGGTAGGATACTTTTTAGAGCATTTCAAGAGAAAATTTTGAATTTATCAAACCATGTGAAAATGAATCTTTTAAGATTTTCCGAGAATGAATTAAATTCAAATAAAATTTGATGATAACACTTATGAAAAGGACAGGTTGGTATGGGTCAAGTATTTGTCATGGCTCTGAATTTAAACCTTATCGATCGTTTAAAAAGTTAAAAATAAAATTTTTAAATAATTAAATTAAATTTCGTATTTGAATTATTGACAATTATATCATAAAGAAATACAAACTAATTACGCTACCTCTCTTTTACTATTTCATGAAATTAGCAGCTGTTAATATGAAATAATTTTTCATTTTTTTATTCCACATTCCATAGCATAATTAATTAAATGGGATACGGATGCAAAATCCTTTTTTTAATGACTTTTTTTGATCCCAATGGAAAGTCTTAATTTACCAAGAAGGGGTGACGATGAGTGATGACCTTCGCTTTGTTAAGTTTATTGTATGTGAACAAATTTAATGAAGTCAATCTCATCATCAGCACAGCACATGCTGAATCAATTTTCATGGAATCCACATGCTGGCTTCCCAAATACTACAGTGCTTACTCATGGCTAGCTAGTGGCTGCAACAATTTCATGGCATAGTCTTGAACCGATTTTTTTTTTTTTAAAAGAAAAAACTTTATAATTTTGACAGCTATTACGAGTTCAAGCACATGCATGATATACTCGCTACTTAAAAATTTAAAGCTGCAAAGTCAACTAGTAAGTGTTTTGATTAAAAAAATTAAACTTGCAAAGTCAACTAGTAAGCGTTTTGATAGGGAAGTCACCCTGGTTGATTTAGAGAATCAGAATTCAGACATGAAAAATGGCTCCCAGTGACAGATCTAGCGAAGGGAAAGGCAACATGAAATAATATTTACACCTGGTTAAAGGTGTTTATGGATCAAATCAAGTTTATATTGATAGGATAAAATAATCACAAATAATATTCAAATCGAATATGTCATACAGTAAAAAAATAAAATTATCTTTCTCTTATGTGAATTTAGTAGGAATCAAACAAATAAAACTAACAAATAAATTATCAAACCATAAACATAAAAACATAAGTAATTTACGTGAAAAATCTCTTAAAAAACGAGAAGTAAAAATTATAAACAGCAACAAATAATCTTTACTATCAAAATAATGAAAATATAAAGGTTTTTCTATCTAGAACTAGAGGTATATAATCATAATATCTCAAGATTGAATAATCTTGGTAAAAAAAATAATCTTGCAAGAGAAAACTAAAGAAGTCTCAGTAAATTTAGGGATAACAAATACCTACAAAATCAGTAGGTAGAAAACTCGAAATCTGATCACCACCGCTAAGATTGAAAAACAATGAGTCATAAACACACTGATAAAATTTCAGTTCAATCAGACAATGGATTAACCTCGATCAAACTACTTGACTGAAACTACACAAAACTCTTTTTTCTCCATTTTTTCTCTATTTTGCCGCCACACTCTCTTTTTTCTTTTTTCAACCATATAAGGGTTTAAAACCCTATAACCAAGCATGAAAGTACTAAAAAGTCCTTGGTGAATGGGCTTTAGTTTTAGGCCACCTCTACATGGAGGAAACTAAGCCCGATAAATCTTTCCCTTTTCGACTATATGAAAGGAATCGCCATTTCGACGATTGACTGACAAACTTCAAGCTTTTCCATTGGTAGTGTCTTTGTTAACATATCATAACCATTGTGATTGGTATGAATCTTCTCAAGTTCAAACAAGTTATCATTGAAAGCAGCTCTTAACTAATGGTATTTCATATTAATGTGCTTTGATTTTAAATGAAAAGTAGAATTCTTACCAAGATGAATTGCGTTTTAAATGTCATAAAATATCACATAGCATTGTTGCTTGAAACCTAATTTTTGTATGAACTTTTCATCCATAACAACTCTTTACATGCTTCAGTGACTGCAACATACTTAACCTCTGCTGTAAAAATGCAAAAAATGCAAGGCATTTTTGTAGTCTCGATTGCCAAGATACAGCCTCACCTGAGAATGTAATCAAATAATCCATAGTAGACTTTCGGAAATCAACATCTCTTACCATATCTGAATCAGTATAGCAAACTAGCATTGATTTTTCATTTCCAAAAATGTCTCAAGTCGGAAGTGCCTCGTAGATATCTTATGATCCACTTAATTACATTATAATACTCTCTTTATGAATTTGATAGAAAGCAACTAACAACACCAAGTACATGGGTTATGTTTGGCCTAATACACACCATTGCATACATCAAACTTCCTACTGTTGAAGTATATAGAACTCTTCTCATGTCTTCTTTCTCTTTAGCTGTAGAAGGGCTTTGATTAATACTTAGCTTAAAGTGTGTAGCAAGAGGAAAGTTAACCACTTTAACTTGATCTATATTGAACCTTTCAAGCACCTTTTCAATATAGTGCTACTGTGACATGTATAATTTTTTAGCTGCTCAATCTTGATAAATTCGAATTCTAAAAATTTGTTGTGCTGGCCCCAAGTTTTTTATAGTAAATGATTTACTCAATTGCTTCTTCAACTGGTCAATTCTAGAAGCATTTTTACCAACAATTAACATGTCATCAACACAAGGCAATAATATGATAAAATCATCATTAAAGAATTTTTACACAAACACACAATGGTCAAAAGTAGTTTTTCGGTAGCCTTGCTCATCCATAACTGACTCAAACTTCTTATACCACTGTTTCGATGCTTGCTTCAACCCATAAAGACTTTTCTTCAACTTGTACATAAAATCTTTTTTTTCTTTTATTATGAAATCCTTTGGTTGTTCCATGTAAATCTTCTTGTCCAAGTCACCATAGAGAAAAATAGTTTTGACATCCATTTGCTCAATCTTTAAATCAAAACTAGCTGTAAAACCCAAAACCACATGAATAGATGACATCTTAACGATGAGAGAAAAGATTTTAATCAAAGTCAATAACTTTCTTTTGACTGAATCCCTTAACAACCAATCTATTTTTGAAACGTGGTTGCAAAGTGTATGCTTCTTGCTTCACTCTATATACCCATCACTTCTTCAAAACTCTTTTTTTCTTAGACAACTTTACTAGTTCAAAAGTATTATTCTCATACAAAAACTTTATCTCATCTTGCATGGCATCAACCCACTATTTCTTATGTTCATCTTTCATGACTTTTACATAACATTCGGATTCTCCCCTATCATTTAGTAACACATAATCATCAACATAATACTATGTGAAAGGTTGTCGATTTTTAGTAGACCTCTTGAGTGAAGTTTTTGGTAAAACCTCTAGTTGAACCTCTAATACTGGTGATTACTCATGGGTATCATCTCTCATTTTAACCTGTGTAGGACTGGTATTAACATCATATGTATTACATTAGTTATCCTTAACATCTTCAACTTCTATAGGAACATGTATTAGAAGAACCAGATCTAAGTCAATTAAACCATCATTGCATTATAAATTGATGTATCAGTCTTCTGAATATCTTGTATGGTCTTGTCTTCAACAAAAATAATATCCTTGCTTTTCACAAGTTTTTCTATATTGGATCATAAAACTTATAGCCAAACTCATTCTGGCCATAACCAAGGAACACTTACTGTCTAGTTTTGACATCAAGCTTGGACCTCTCATTTTTTAGAATATACATAAAAATCTTACATCCAAGGGTATGCAAATGATCATAGGACACATCTTTGCCTGACCAAACTCTATCTGAAACATCAAAATCTAGGAGAACACATGGTGAAAATTCAAAACATGTACAACTATA